GTCCCGGAGCGGAGTTGCCTCGTTTCCTGTGACACAGTTCTGGCAATTAGTCATGGGAATCACGTATACGCCCTGCGTGTCTGGCAGCCATTTTATGACGAAGCGGCCGTCAACGTCAACGCTGGGGCTTTTGTAATTTTAATTACTTCCCTCGTGCCCGGTCTGAGTTATGAGCTGGGCAGGAGCGGGGCGTACGGAGTGTAGGAGCAAAGAAAGGACCTGCTCGCCAGATTGTTTTACAACATAATTAAGCAGCATTGTTGTGGGCGAATTATGAAGTGCAGGCGAGAGTGCAGCGTGTTACCTGGGCTATGGGGCACGGGCATAAAAACGTCACTCACCAACGCCCCTGTCACTGTGCGAACTCTGCTCCTCCTGAGCTGGAGTGGAGTGGGAACCACTCTGGCCATGTTCTGTTCCCGCTTGCAACTTTATTTTCTTGCCCCCGGCAACAGCAACAATAACAGCGACAACTCCAGCAAGTCAACAACAATTCGATACACACTTGCCACTTGCCACTCCTGGCCAAGATTCCCCCCGCCACCGCGACCGACGGAACCCATTCCATGCAAACGGGGACTGCCTGGTGTGAAAGCGTGTTGCCAGCCTCCGATCCAGATTCCGATTCCACTCGGTATTTAATGCACTTGCAAAAACGGATTAAACTACCTGGATTACATTTTCTGATAAATTACTATTGTTATTACTATTATAACTTCAACAAAGTCCCTTCATTCCTTCCTATGCTATCCAATATTTCTCCCAGTGCAAACATCTGAAAGATGGGTCCTGAGCTCGGACCTGGATCCAACTCCGTCCGGACTCCGTCCGTCTGCTAAAGCGTTCAGCATCGATTCGTTATGATTGCATGTTAAATGGCTCCCGCTGAGTTATTACGAGACAAAATCCTTATTTATCGCTTTCTGATTTATTTGTAAACGATTTTCATGCCCATCGCCTATGGACGAGGACGTGGATGTGGCTGAGGATGAGGATGAGTATGAGTCTGGCAGTTGGGCACCAGGACCTGGAGATGGAGTCGCTGTTGGACTTTGGCTGGCATCTTGATGGGCTGACTGGCCAGGTTGTTTGCTCAGCAGAATCTCTCGGTTGGCTCTTTCCAATTTTCACTGATTTCAACGCCTTGTTTTTATGGCCAGCAAAGGGTTCTCTCCCCTTTTGGCCCTCACTTTTATTGCTTATTTGTTGTGTGTGCGTTTCCCTTATCTTTTTCGAAATGCTTGCTGCTTACTTAATTTTGACATATTTATTTTTATTGTGCACTGCACACACGGAGAGTGGGAGTTGTTCCCCCTAACAGTCGGCATTGAGTGGGATTGTGCGGGTCAAGTTGGGGTCTTCAGCTTGGCTATTTGATTTGCAAGAAAAGGAAACGTGTTTTTTTTTCTTTATTAATTTAATTATGTAATTTATCCAATTGCAGTGGGAAATTTATTGGTATATAAAAGAAACGGTAAAGATATAAGAGTGGTTTTAAAAGATTATAATATTTTATTTTGCCTTATTTAATATATATTATTACCTTAATGAAATAGTAGCTTTAATGACATTTATTTACCTTTTCCTTGGGCCTTCCTCTCCATTTCCCCTTCTCCGACTTTCATAAACCAGTGTCACTCAATTGGCCAATTTCTCGACACTTTCAATTCGCTCAGACACCAAAACACAACTCCAATTTCCCAGCTATGCCCCAAGAATGCGGGGAAACGGAGAAATATATCCACAGAGAAGGAGATGATCGAGAGGAATGATGCAGGGGGACGCCTTCTGTTAACAACCGAAACGAAAGAACCGAACATGGCTTATTAAAACGCAAAACGGCTTTTTACGATGGCAATAAATTGGTTGCGGGAATGGACCGAGGAGATCGGAGGGATCGGTGGGGCATATGCAAAGCCAAAAAGGAGCTGCAAGCGAGCAGCCAACAAGAGAGGCCAGCGTTTATGGCTTAAATTAATAAAATAAGCTTTGTCAGACAATTTACAACGCGTCTTCAGCGAGCAGATTACGAGCACGCGGACACGATCTCAGTTGCCTTGGAAGAAGCCCCATCATCATCATCATCATCATCATCATGGAGCCGGGAGAGCAGCCAAGTTAGCGGGTATACTAACAAGGCAGGAACTTGACTCACTTATTGACACCGAGTCCTTCAACACTCTTACGGATCAAATAATCTTAGTTATTTAAAACTTGTTAAGCCAGTAAATAAATATGGGTTTATACGTTTGCTGGTTATACCAATTTTAGTCATTAGTTTGCAACGCATAGAAGGAGTCATGCACGCCTTAAGCCCTCTTAAAGGGTATTTTGCATCAACGACGAGAGAAGAACCAGCGGCGACAGTGAATGTAGCCTGACTGTCTGCCCCGGCCGTTGGATATTTCTTGCTCTCGGCGAGGTGGAGGACAGGATGCGGTAGACATGTGGTGCAGAGGTAGGAGTCGCGAGAGTTGCGGTGTTTGTTCGTTAATTAGTGAACATATTTCGTATAATCGGTGTCATATTAGTTATAAATTGGATAAAAGCGCAAAACGACAACTTAATTAATTTTAAATTCTAATTTATAAACAAGAAACGCGAGGGTTCTTGGTGATAACGATTGTGGAAGCAGCCCCAGTGCGGGCTAATCATGTGTCCCCGGATCCGAGGCATAGAACTAAGCCGATCGCGGATCCCCTTGTCTCCCATGGCATTCCTTCTGCCATAACTTCATTTAAATTCTGTCTCCGCCTGCGCCTCTGCGCAGCATCCTTTTGGCGAGTTCCGAGAATCGCGGACCGGCTCGCCGGGCCCACAACATTCGATTAGGTCTGCCGTGTCGGCCGCTGATATATTGCCAACGATCATCAGCGATCATCATTTTGTTTTGAGCAGATTGCATTCCGCGCGGAGCGGAGCAAGGGAGCAGGAGCAGGAGAAGGAGGAGTGGATGCTGCTAAATTACCTTATAACTTAATTCATTAATAAATTTATGAATTCGTCGTGTAACTTGCTGGCCAAAATGCACGGCATTGAATTTACCAAAGGCCTTGGCCTCGATCAGCTCAGAACATACAGAATATTGATGGATTTTCGTATATAAATTCATAAGCCAGACCTACCATTGTTTCTTTTCAGTGTGCACGTCAAGTTGTTTTGAATGCCTAAAAATCTGTAATTAATGTGGCTTCGTCTCTATTTAAAGACGATTTGCCTAATTTATTTTGATAAATTTCAATTATTAAGCCATCATTATCAGGCCCCGAGCTCAGGTCGTCGCTGCCTGTGGGCAGATCGAACAAAGATCGCGCTCTGAATGAATCCAACCATTGAATGAATGAACAAGAGTTTCACTTCCTCCTTGGAACCCATGACCAAAGCCACATTTATACTTTTTCTGGGTGAGAAGCGACAAAATAAGATGGTGTAAAAAGACACTTTGCCAATCGTTGAGCGCTTTTAAAATATTTTCCGAACCGTTGGGGATATCAATCAATAATTGTATTTTTTTGTTGTTTGTGTGGAGAGTGAAAGATAAAAATAAAAAGGGAATAGGGAAGAGAAAAAGAGCCGGAATGTCACAGTTGACAAGGGTTTCGATGAATGAAATGAGCTTTGTCGTTTCTCGGGGCGATCATTGATTAATGCGCTGATTTTAGGGGATTACGATTCCATAAAAATGTAAGCCGATGGGACATACACTTCTGTACTATGGATAAATATCCATAGTACAAGTAAGCAAATAATTTAGTATCTTAATAAACATTAGGTCAAGTCAAGTTACTCTGTTAAACAGTTCTTTAAATACAAGTACGTAACTATGAAAAAATTATTTATATTTAAAGGTGCAATTTTTGGAAACTTTTCCTTGACCTTACTGATTTTTAGCTGCGCTTACCACTCTCCACCCGAGTTCTTTCCGAGCTTTTGATAAAGTGAATACTCGAAGCGTTGACAGCTCGGGATTCCCAGCATCCAGCTCGCCGCATTAATTTAGCTAATCCTGCGCGAGACGATGATGATGGGCTGCGGACGATGATGATGCGCGGACTGGACAGGAAGAAGAGGAGGATGAGAAGCAGACAGAATCAGAATCAGGGGCCAGTGCCGACTGATTTTATATGGTTATAATTCTGGCTTTTGACAGCAACAAGCCTCGTTTGTCGTGCTGCAGAGTGTGGCTGGCCATTCCCATCCCGAGGAATGTCAAATTAGCACACAATGCGCCAGCTAATACATTAAACAATATATGGCCAGATATCGGAGATAGATGTACCTGTATAGGGAGCCGAGCTGCGCTTTCCCCAGGAGTTGTGTGCTCGTAAATTATATCAGTGGTGTAAGTAGCTGCCAACATTTAAGAACAATTCCGTGAATCACTTAATTTATGCAAGTGCTACAAATCGCAACCTTGTTGCAAGGGACATAAGCAGGAGCTGGGAGCAGCATTTATCCAATCCAACCGAACCCAGCCGACACTCGGACAGGGCTAATAAACGATCATTTAATAAGCGTTTTAATGCCAAATTTACGATCGTTTTATTTGCATAAATTACCAAAGTTGCCAACTGTATGCACATTAATTTCCCCAACAAATTGCCAATAAAATGTTATTTATGTTGCTATGCGAAATATACAACAACAGGCAGTGGTGGGCCCCCAAAAATTCCTTCAACGCAGATCGCGAAGGGCATGGAATGGAAGGCAACGACGACGATGACTATATATCCACATTATCCATATATCCCGCCTATATGGACAAAAAACCAGAGTCAAAGGTAGTAAAGTTTATGAGCTTTCGGTTTGCATTTTGTTCGCTCACCTTATTGCTTCTTGTTTCGTTTTATATGAATTTCGCCCTAATAGAGTCATAAAATTCGGCATTCAATGGCTGCGAATCGCTGTTATAAAATGTCTAAAAACCAAACTTACCTTGATATGAACTATCTTGATCTGCAAGGAACTAATTTCTGGACTCACGAAGAAGCTTAGGATAATTTACGGGCCTAGGCGACAAGTAGCAGGAGGCTGTCTATATATCTATTATATTATATCTACTGGCTTAATGTGTGGTGCGAATCATCGACGGTTCTACCGTGGAGCCCGGGTATCCAGGTGACCATACTCTCAGTCATGTCAAAGACCTCGAAGGCCTTGCAGAAGTCGGGGAAGAGTATATGGTTCGAGTCCGAGTGATCCATTTCCTTCATCATCGAGTCCACAATCCGCATTATCTGGACGTGGTCCAGCAGATTCGAGAATAGTTTGTGGACAACTATCACCAAATCGTACTTGGTGATGCGACCGTCTTTGTTGTGATCGTACATGTTGAAGAGCACTGGGAGAAACTTTAAAGATATATTACCTTATATATGAAGTACTCTTACTCTTCAGTTTCTTATCTTTAATGGCATTCTTGAGCTCATCGGTGGTCCTGAGCGAGTGGGCCTGAAAGGTGCTAAGGAACAGGGCGAAGTCCAGAAACGTAATTGTCTCCTTGTCCCTAAACATGCAATTCAGGATGGTGGGCAGCAGGGGATTCATATGCAAAAGCCCCGAATAGAAATTGTACTTGTGCAGCCTTTTGGGCGGATCCTTACCACCGCCAGCGAAAGCGCAGAAGCGATTGTACAGGTACCTTATTTGACTGCGACTCACTGGAAGGCAATGGGTTACGATAAAGATTTCCAGCTCTTCAATCGCCACTCACATGTAGTTGTCCTCCTTAGAGTATCCATAATGTCCTGTGGCACTGCGGGATACAGCGATGCGGTTTTCCTCAATCCCAAGCATCCCATTCCGGACTGATTTTTCCAACTAAATAAGTATTCCTAAAAAAGTGAGAGCTACAAGCATTTCATATAACATGACAGTCCCTTGCTACTTGATTTTCCATTTCCCATTTTTCTTACTTTTCTTGGTTTTGATAACTGCCGTTCGAGATCAGTTTAGATTAGTTTTAGATCTCATTTTATGGTCCTTTTTTATGGGTTTTCGCCCATAAAAAACATAAAATACAGATCTCCAAAGACAAGAAGCTGCGACAAGTGACATTTTGTGTGCAACAAGTCGAGCACTCACTTCTCATAAAGCATAGTACTCCACTAAAAATCAAAATTAAGCCGAACTCCGGTCTCATTCTGAAGCCAACTGTGTCCGTAATGAAGCTCAAGTATCCGTTTGATGTGTTCCCTGAAGACTGTCCGCTGTCATGGCTCTGGCAGGAAAAAGGGCGTAAAATGGTTTATGAAATGTGTGTCTTTTACCTTTTATAGATTAGCAAATGATGGGTATCACGAAGGGAGAAAGAGGGGTTCTGGATACCAAATTTCCAACATTTTTTAAACAATATTTTTAAAATTTGCTTGTTGTCCACCGCTTGTAGGAAAGCCCCCGGGATCATCGTGACATTTTTGTTGGCAGCTAGAACCTCCAACGCTGTGTGGTCCGCATGCCGAGGGTCACGTCCGATATGGTCGCATATCTGGCGGCCAATTTGCGGCAAAAATGTGTGCCACATGACAAGCAATTAAGCTCGGACGGCGACAAAGTACGTGCCCAAGTTCGGGGGTTTAGTGAACCCGGTCGCGAAAGCGATAAATTTATGACAGATTTTCAGAAGAAATGCTCTCTGGGCCTGGCCACGGACTGCGTGTGGCTCGAGTGGACATATAGTGGCGATGGCGATGGCGCGATTCTCCGCCGGCAGTTTCGGAACTCTCTTCGACGTGGCGGTACTTAACACCACGCATCATTTTAATTATTTATTTGGTCATAAAAAAGTCGAAGTTTGGGGAGGGGCTGGGCTGGTTCGTTTCGGAGTGAGTGGCCCAAGATTCGGCACAGTTTTTCGTTAGCCGGCGGTTGTTCGGTTCGGAATCGTTAAATTTAACAAATTGCCAGTGATTTTTATCGCGCTCCAAGCCCACAAAACTCTTTCCTGTCTCCTGTCCTGTGCTGTCCCAGTCCCGTAGCCCTGCCCATAGATTGTTTTTCCCCTGCTTCGCCAGAGAGCAACTGGTGAACTTGCAAATTTATTTATGACCAACGGTCGAGAGATACAGTATTTTAGTGTAAGTTTTTGGTTTCTGCCATAACGCACAATTGGCGGGTATGATTCAGGTACCCAGGTATTTACTTGGGACTTTTCCTAATTAAGTTGCCAGCTAGGGTTCGCTCTGTCTATGAAGTCGTTAATTCTTTGATGTCCTCCTTATCTCTGCCCTGATCGCATAAACCCATTTATGTGTGTCTTGTTCCCGACAAACGGTACCTAACATTCCGCTGACCGATGGAGTCCTTATTTTAAGATAAGCAAAAAGTGTCAGTACTAGAGAATAACCACTAGATGTGATTCTATAAGCTATAAACCGAGTAATACTTTAGATAGCCTAAGTCTGGCCCAAGTTCGTTGCCTAAGTCTTTCGATTTCGCCCGCCGCGTTCAGCTAATCTTGAGCCAACTAATTAATTACAATAGATGGAATTAAATCGCATAAAACGACCTAATTATTATTGCACAAAATTTATTTGGAGCCTGGAAATGAGCCAACTAATTGCCCCGGCTGGCAGCAACAGTTCTCACCAGTCAAGCGAAGCCACCAGGCCCCTGGAACTGGAAACATGTTAACTGAAAATAACCTGTAATTATAATAATTATCTGTAAATTATATGGCGCACTTACATACAATTGCACACATGGATTCATGTGGCTGTCATAAAAATCAGAAGCGGGCTTTTGAGTTAAATCTGCCTTTAAATCTGGCTCGAATTTCATTCACTTACCCGGCTGGTTGCAATAGTTTGCGGCTCTTGGCTACTGCCTGGATGCACTGCGAGAAAGCAACTGGCTATTTGAGTGGCGAAGGAACATGGGGAAAGGCAGCTGCAATAAAATATCTTTCAGTGTATTTAATTCCACTATTGCCGTGGTAATTGCAGACCTCAGATACGTGATTATTGCCTCCATTTAGAGGAATATTAAATCAAAATTTCATTGGCATGTGTGAAACTGTCGCAGACTCACTCTTGTTTGTTTTTTTTTCTGCTCCATCCGGTTGAGTATTTTTGGGGGACTGTTGTTGCTGTGTAATCAGCCAGGCTGCGACCGCTGGATTCTTCGTAATTGAAACGAGTTTGCCACAAGTGAACACGTTTGTCTCCACTCTTTTCAGGGGTAATTCAGCACACAACTACACGGCCTCAGATGTTTCGCAGTTGAGTGTCGGTTATAAAGTAATTAGCCTCAATTTAATGTTTATACTTTGTTGATTATGATTATGTTAATTATACGACTTTATGCGACTTGTGGTGAAAACAGGGAAACATTCCGATTCCGATTCCGGTTGCCCGGCTGTCATCATCACGCCATTACGGCCATTACGACGGTGGCCGCTGTGACATTGATGAACTCGAAAGTGTGACAAGTCGGCGGCGGATTGGTAAATACTCGGGGCTGGCCTGGTGAGCAATGTGGAAACTGTTTAGCTTTCAAGAGTGGCTGAGTGGCGCGTTCTCTATTAAAATTAAATTTTATTAATTAGGCAAAACAACTTAATTCCCTTGTAAAACGCAGCATCATGGGCAGCTGCTCGGGCTAATTGCACAGCGCCATCAGCAGTGCCCGAGCCCGATCCCGATCCCGAGCCGATCCCATGCCCATTCCGGATCCCCACGGACACCTGAAACACTTTGAAACGAAAACACGATAAATGGGTTTAATAATGGCAGCAATTAAATGGATACACCGCGCTCTCCACAACTATATATACACACACGAATATGTAGCATTCGGGAGGAGATGGAGCAGCATCTCAATTACCGCTGCTCCGCATGGCGCTTCACGGTTGAGAAATTCGACGCCACTTTCGAAAACGCATCACTCAAATGCTCATCTGCTCCGCAGCAGCCCCTCGCCTTCTCCCGCTGATGCATATTGGCTCTCTGTTGATTTTCCAAGGCGTTGATTCTCTGTTCAGGGTTTGGGCTCGGGTTTTAGGTTTTGGGAACTCTCGGGTCTTGGGTCTCGTTTCGAGGCAACTCATCAGCAATTTATTAAAACTCATCAATACTCATCAAAGGCAGAAACAAAGCAAACAAGAAAGACTTCAAACTGCGAGCTGATTCGATTCTTCAAAAAGAGAAAACTCCCCATCCCGAGACAGAATGCCTGCGGTTAATTTGGCGCAGCTACATAAATTGAAATAGATTTGTTTAAGTTTTGATTATTACCAATAAGGAGGCCGAGGTTCGGTTGCTACTCTCATACACTTGAAATATAATCAAAGGAAAAATCAATCAGAAAGTCATAAGCAAAAATAATGGATATCTGGTAAGTTTAAAATTTTGAAAAACTATTTTTGCTTATTAAAGCTAAATATTCCTTGATTTATCCTATACCTATTATGTGTACATAGTATTACAACTTTACTTTATAGATCATTCCTTATTCGGATATACTGGCTGCCTTACTGCCTTACTCTTACCATCTCGTCTCAGCTTGAGCTGGCAGCTTTTTCACCTTGTGCGCCCGTGATTTGTCTGCATTTTCAGCTCATTTATTTGTAGGCACTGGGAATCGGTGGTGCGGCCTCTGTGCAGATCCCCTCCAACCACCGATCCGGTGTCGGGCTGGAAATGTGTACAAACAAAATGTTTTGCATATGTCAGAGAGGCACTCGGAATGCCCGTGGCCATCAATCCCGCGCGGGCATCAATTTGGGAAATGCATCAAAGCTGGCAGCTTGAACAGCTTGATTAGTTGCTGGCCGGCCAAGTGCATGTCGGCTCATTAGCCGCCGCCACTGATGGCCCGAACCCGATGATGAGATCTATACGAGATTTGGGGGCGGGGCGAAGGCGAAGGCGGAGGAGCTGTGAAATCGGGCATCAGACTCCGGTGTCTGCCATCAAAATTAGGTTTTAATAATTGGCTCACATTTATTGGCTGGCTTAATTTGATTGTGTTGTGTGCTGTCGAATGTTTATGCATTCGAGTGGTCGATTAATCATTTCTCATTGATCGTTCTCTCGATGTCGGGGGCGTGTTAGCCCTAATGAAGCCGGCTAATGCTGAGAGCGATGCTGAAAAATTAGCTGCTTTGGGCTGAGAACCTGGCAAAATGTGAGGATTCTCCAGTTGATTGAATAAATGGAAAGGAAAAGAAAGAAGCATGGAACTATTGGAGTTTTGACTGATTTAATGAAATGTTTAGCTGCGATAATAGCGTTGAAAAATATCTGAGAAATTTTGTTTTTAATTTGTTTACCTAAGCTAATTCCGGATTAAAATTATAATATCCTGCAAGAGTTTACAAATAAATTAGCTTATTAATTATCAAACAGCTAGAATATTCAATATTATTCTCACCTTTTGAATGTCAAATATTTTTTCTGAAATTATTTGGAGTGAAGCCTCGCGATCGATTCGATTATAGAGTCTACTCTCAGCACGCGCAGGAACAAGAGGCAGAAAAAAAAAAGACAGAGGGACTCGGCATAAAACTTCATTAACAAGTTGGCAAGACTTTGGCAGACCTTTTGTCGCCAGCCGGGCTCGAAATTGAAATGGAAAATGGACTCGGCCTCGGCCTCGGGTATGCGAACTCCAGCCGGGATGTGTGTTGGCTCGCAATCTGTGTCGCCGGATCAGCGGCAAAAGTGTTTGGATATTTGTTTAATGAAAAGCGAAACCAACGAGGGACGATCCTCATTTCAAGACCCAACCTTCGACGGCATCCTGCTCCTATCGTGCGGCAAATATCAAGTCATTGGTTTTAGTCACACTTAACCGACACTGGGGAAAATAAGTAAATTGAAAATTATTTTCAAAAAAAATACCTAAAGTTCTTTAAAAAAAATGGACTCTAATAAAA